CAAAACCAGACCACATGGTAACAAATGACATTGGGGGAATAAATACAAGAAAAGCTGCTTTATCTCTGCTGAGGCCACCCCAGAAAGTCCTATCCTGCATTTGACTTGCTGGTAAACATTCTGCTTCAGAGGAGTGCAGATCTCCTCCTCCTTCTTTGGGTAACAACATCTTTTTTCTTCTGTAAAACACACGTGATATCAACATCTGATGCCGAAACACCAACGCCACCCAAATTTGTCTCCCGCTGGTTCTGGAAAGAACCAACAGGTCTGGGGCAAGGGCTGTTCCATCTCTTGCAGAGAGCACTGGAACACATCCTAATAGCCTTTTAAAATGATAATTGAAGTTTTATATATGTAATAACCTGAGCACTGAAACGCAAATTAAAAATAATTGCTATTGCTCTCATCTATCTCTGCTCTACAGGCACGAGTTGTCTCACAGCACAACAACTGGTGTCTGCTGGGGGCCTGGGGCATCATTCCAGTTCTGATGCCTTGTTTTAAGAGAAGAGAGGAGTGTGGGGAAAGCAAGCTGGATGGAGGAACATTTACCCCCTATTTCCATTTAGACATTCAAGCTTCAAATCCTATTCCTGGCCTTGCTCACGGATCCCTCAAACGCCTCCCTGCAGATTCTCCCAGGACTGAGTGTAGCAGGGTTCTTGATTTCTCTCAAACTGCTGTGCAACCAACTGTATTTCACTGTATATGTCCCCTGTTCATTTTATTATTCTGCTTCAGCCACAACGTGCTCAAGGAGGGATTTCCAAAGCGTGTTACACATCCCTCACCATGGGCAGGCCAGAATTACCCCAGAGCACTGTGAAAAGGCTCATTGAAGAGCTGCTTCTCCTCAGACATGCCCTGGCTGTGCAGGGGGTGCTAAAGCAAAACAGGAACAAATGACATCTGGTGATCCATCAGTGTGGGTGATGAAGGCTGAAGACAAGTCTGTGGATAGTTCTGGCAGAGACCCCACCTCAGAGAAGAGGTCAAAGCTCATTCAGGAGCACATTTAGATAACCTGGTGCCATCCAGTTCTCCAGAATCCTTCCCAGCTCTGAGGAGCAGAGCCTGCTGCTCTGGCTGAGCACTTCAAGCACTTCGCCTCCCTCAACATCACTTCCATCTTCCCCGAATTCAGCCTGTGCCAGCTGTTCCTAATCCACAAGCTCCTCTCCTCCAGGCTCCATAAACCTGATGGAGAGTGTGAGAAGTTTGCAGAGTTGATACATAAACTGCCTTTCCAAGAAAGTGCCATCTGTATTCCGTGCTAAAATGAAGCCAGGCTAATTGGCTGCCTCACACGGAGCGTGATGTGCTCTGCCTGATGAAGGAACACGGGTATGAGTGGATTTAAACTGTTCCATTATTCTCCATTATGGAAAATGTGCTCACCCCTGTTAAACCCTGGCATTAGATCCGTGCTGGTGGCTGCACAGGCAGAGCAGGAGCCTGCTCCTACATGCTGGACCAGGTGACCCAGGGCGGCCCCAAAAAATCGTGGCTCGGAATGAACCAAAAGGAAATGAACCTGCTTAAAATACAAAGGCTGACCTTTCACAGCTCTTAGAAGTTATTTGCAAACAGAGCTTCACTTCTCCAAGTCTCAGAAGAAGAGATGGATGTGGAACAGCACAACTTTTGTACTGATTTGTGCTTCCTATGACAACACCTGTTTTTTCCTCAAATCCTCTTTATGTAAAATGATTCTGTTCACCACCATGAGAAATCTGCAATCAGATTTCCCCTTTTTCTTTTAGGATAAAACAAGTAGCAAAGGAGAGACAAAGCAAAGAGCAGTTCAAAGGAGGGGGCACCTGGTGTGATCACCCCTTTGCATCCCCACAGGAAGATGCTGAAATGGGAAATGGAGCTGCTGCTTCATCCCTAATCCCTCCAGCATCCATGAAACAATCAAACATCTACTTTTCCCAAAAAACCTTTTCTCACAGAAAACATAAGAGCTGAGATGTGCATCTGTCACAGTGAAGAAATACGGTAGAATTTTTTAATATATTAAATTATACTACATTGGATAAAATTCTATTTTAATTTGAAACTCAATGGATATTAAAGGCAACTTTAAAAAGTTATTATCTAAGTTTTAATTGCATACATTATGTTTGTAGCCTTAGGTACTGCAGGTAGTCCTTTAATATTTCCTGCAGTATATTGAGATCATGGAGCAACCATTTAATTCTGCTTGAAGAATGTTCCAGAGAGAACTATGGGGGGAAAAAAATTATAAAACTCCAAAGTTTTGGCTGTTGAGTGAAACACCAATGGGTTTGGGCCCGTTGGCAGGGAACTTCCAAACTTTTAGCTGTAGTAAGAACACTGAAAGCATATGGGCTGTCATTAGACCCTCACTGAGTCCACCCTTGATAGTCAGACACCACAATAAAAATAGAAAGATTGTCAAGCTGCAATATGGGTGTTTGGAACAATATCAGATATTTTCCTGCAACTATATCAATGCATGGGAAATATCAAATATGTCCAAGCATTGAAGTGGGGCAGAACCTTCCCTCCACCTCCTGGGCTGGAGGAGGTTGGTTGTGTGAGTCCCAGCTGTGCAGAACCTCTGTCCCTTGCCAAAATTAACCAGAGGATCTGCAGAAAAATTGCCAGCATGGGCTGGGAATAATCAAATTTCCAGTCCTGTGCTGAAAGAGCTGGAGATTTCACGGGGAGCAATGATTCTCCTTATTTTGCTGTGCACCTGCCTCTCTGCAAACATCAAAGTATCCAACATCACATGGTTTCAAGAGACCAAAATTCACCAGTGTCTGAGGGGCTGTGGAAAGCCAGAATCATCTTCCCTGTCATTCAGGAATCAAGTCATGTTGCTCAGTTCCAGTTTGGGGGCTGTGGTCCCCTTGGTTCCCCCTGTAAATGCATTTTTGGGCCTCACTCAAGCAGGTGAACGCCTTTGTACCCATCCTGACTCTGCTCACAGGGGACAAAAGGGGCCAGAGAGGTGAAATGCTGAAGATGAGCAGTGAAGAATCCTGTTGGAAGACCTAAACCACTTCACCCTTCACACCACACAAGTGAAGAGGTTTTCTGCACACAGACAAGTTGCTGACAGTTCTCCAGCCCAAATGCTTCTCACATCAATTGCTACTGAAGTGCCACAGAAGTGATCTGGAACTTGCCACAGATAATTTCACCTCCCACCTTCCCCTCATTACCCAGTACCAGGAGGAGTGAGACTTTTCCTACAAACCACTTTTGTGAAATTAGTACTTAACAATACAATTTATTTATTACATTGCTTAGGAACTTCTGAAAATACTTTTCTTTTTCTCCCTGATATGAATGCCTTTTAAAAAATAATCATAATTAAACAAAAAACCTTCCAGGTATTTTTTCAAATTACCCAGAATTTCTACACTCATTTGAATATTGAATATTACTACCTATGCTTTTTTTTTTTCATCTTGAAACAGGTAAATCCATAAAGAAGCACTCAAAGCATATTCCACACATCTCACTTTGATACCCTTTGTATGATGGAACTTGTGCAAACCCAGCCCTGCTCAACATAAAGCTGAATAAAACCCCAAGTAATGCACAAACAACTCAAATTCATAACAATATCTTCCAGAAAAGGATTAGACAGAACAACCATTTGATCCAGCACAGGAAATATAGAGACTTATTTCCTTCAAGACACGTGGAAGGACTCCTGAACTTGGAGTTGTGAGGTTGCTGAACAAGCAGAGCCCACGATGGCAGAGGGAATGCAAGCCCTGGAGGACAGAGCACAGTATCTTTGACTCCTTATTTTCAGTTCCTCTGATTATCTGACAGCACTGCATTCACCAAATGTTTGTTTAACTTGGAGTGTTTGCTTATTTAAAAGCAATCTCTGCAATGAAAATGTGGTGTCTGAGTGGTTCTGGAGAGCAGGGGATGGGAGGGAGCCGAGCTGGGCTTTGTTGCAGCAAACAAAGACACGCAGAGTTTTCATCTCTTGTTCAATCATTTGAAATGAAGGCAAACTTTTTTTCTTTTCCTTGTCGTTTAATTTGAAATTAGTCTAATCAGACATCTGCCAGGATCTGTCTGAATTAACAAAACTGAACACAAATCTTCTATGAGCACTCAAGTGCTGCTTCCCTCAAATGGCACTAACTCACACGGACACTCCGTGGAACTAATTGAACATCCCCAGCTCAATATTCCAGACTTTCTGATTTAACTTTATTACAGTCAGAACAAATAACAGTATAAGGGGAAACATGTTGTTAAGGACTCGGTTCTGAAGTGGTTCAATAAAAGCAGGCTGCTTATCCTACTTTATTATCTTTATTATTGCTGCTTTTAGATGGAAAGAGAATTTCCTCTCGAGACAAAAAAGCAGAGTTTGCCTCAAAGCCCTTTGTTTTCTTTTGAATAGCAAGGTACAGTTTACTTCTCAGAATTCCATGGGAATTTTATTCTTGCCAATACAGGGAATTTTGATATTATGGCATTTTCCTCTTCCTGTGACACGTTATGGCTGAATTTGTCAGCATTTACTAAAGGTTTTGACATCACTCAACAACACTGAGGTGGATTCTGCTGACTCTGGACATGTTCTGAACTAAACATCTTTTGCTAAACTCCTGAAATTACACAGGAGCTGCCCTCAGTAACACAGGGAGTCTTTTCAAGTCTGTGTTCCTGGCCTATCCAGGAGGTAGGACTTCCAAAATCAGATTAACAGAATGGAGGGACTTTTTTTAGCATGTTTGTGGGGTCGATATTTGCACCAACATAATGACCATCTGAAAACCCCACTAATTCCAGGAACCAGTTTAAATCTACATCAAGTGACACTTGATTTTTTTTTTTTTAAATCTGAATAAAAAGACAATTTTCCTTATGTCTTTTTAACCAAAATATTGCGTTTTAACCCAGACTTTTAAAGGTATCTAAGATTTCAGCCTGTAAATTCTAAAAAATAACTGCAAAATTCTGTGATATATGAAAAAAGAAGCATTTACCTGAGAGTTTTAAGCTCTTGCCACCTTTATGGACAGTTGGGTGTTCATGGGCTTTGGAGGATGACACAGGAGAGAGGTTTTCATTCCTGGGGCAGTCCTGTCCCTCAAGGTCACTGCCAAAGCTGTATAAGGAACAACAGGGAAGTTTCCATGAATTTTTCAGGCAGCCCTGCCTCTGTCATCCCTTAATAAATAAATAAACAAATAAAATCGAGCCTGAATGTCCCTTTTTTTTTTTTTTAATGAGTAATGGGAAATGAGACAGAATCAATCATTGGCAAAGTAAAAGATGTTTAATATTGATTGTTCTTCTGAAGGATGAGGAAGCTTTTCTAATGGTCGTAGGGAGACACAGGGAGGGGGGAGCTCATAGATTTGTTTTCCTTTCTGTATTCCCAAAGGAGTAAGGAGAAGATGAGGTCATGATAGATTATAATCCTGCAAGCAATGACTAATGAGTAACTGAACTACCTTTGTAGCAGCAGTGAAGGCAGCAATAGCCAGAGTAATTGGGTTTATTGGGTTTCTGCTTAGCACGAATTCAGTCCTCTCTTAAACATCCTGTCCCTTCAAATCATTTTATGCTCAATGTCTTTCCTTTTTACTATGCCTGACTTGAGTTATTTCATGAAATCTGACCTTGTATTCTTAATCTCATCTACTTGTTCTGAATAGTTCTTCTTTATTTTCCTTCAATAACTGTTCTGTCAAACAGTCCACGTAAGCACAACATCTCAATCTGCAGTGCCAGCCCCTGACTCAGGGTGGATGTACATTAATGTAACCCCAACAGCCCAATTTCACCTTCTCAGAGAAACCGGCTCAAGAAATAATACTCAGGGATAAAGTCTGTAGAAGTGCAGGACCCTCTTGTACAAATAACAACGGTAACTCTGTGTTAAAATTAATTACACCTTCCCTTTTCAACTAAATGTTATTTTTTTTTTTAACCAGGTTGGAAACAGCAAAGTGTTATATACAAGGTTTTTTAAAAAAAAGTTATTGTTTGCTATTTTTTTTTCTAAAAGGGCTTTTACACTCCTGTAGTGAAAATATCTCTCTGCAGAAATGTATTCTTGGAGGGGAAAGGAAAAAAAAAGTCAGTGACATTGCACTTCCAATTCCCAAGAGCAAACCAGACATTTCATTCAAGCTGGTTGTTCCCTAAAGCTGGATGGTTTGCATAGTGAATTTATTCCTCTTGCCATATTATGTCACACTGGTTCAACAGGATCTCCCTTTGGGGAAGCGTTTTCAGGCCCTGCTTGTGCTCCCAGTGTCTCTGGCACTCATGTTCCCACGTTTCCCAGTGGTGGCTCATTTCACAGTCACTGCAGAGGCAGAACCTGTGCTTCCTTGTTCCCTCTACATATGTTCCAGTCCCAGCTGGCATCATTCCCTCTGAAGGGAAAACTCCTCATCCGGATGATGTTTGGTCTGACTGTTCTTGTGTCCCCCTAAAAGTCATTTCCATGCCTTGTACATCAGATTCTTTTAGGGGAAGAGAGAGACAGTTGTAGAGTCAGACTGTGTCTTCCACCTCTATAAAAGGGAAAGAGAATCCCTCACCTCCTGAGAGATGAACTGGTGAAAAATATTCCTAGAAGAGCTAAGCATACTTTTGAAATTCTGTTTCCTTCATGAATTTATTCCCCCTCCCATCTTTGCACAAAGGAAAATAGACTGTGGTGGAATCTACCCGAGACCTGATGATTGCCACTTGACCTTCCAGTCACAGACAGTGCAAGGCCACTGAAAAGAGACACCCTGTGATTCAGGGAAGGGAGAGAAAGGTGCCCAGAGGGTTTCAGAAGGTTTGGAGTAGTCACATTTGCTCTTCACCCTTCTCAGGTCTCGTGGGACAAGTCCTGTTTCCATGCAACGAGCTGCACAAGGCAAAGAGTCCTCCAGTCTCTGTGCAATGGTTGTGGAAATCTGATTTAAAGAGTTCGTTCAGTTCAGCTACAAAACACGTGGTTTCCAGTCAGGCAAGAGAACACACATTGTGTTTTCTGCATAAAGGCAGTGGAGGTACTTCACCCTCACTGGAACTATATAACAAACATATCACTGAGTCAGTCAGCTATGGAAATTCAGGGGGTTTTGGGGGTTAGCATTGCTCTGGCTGTGCCTGCAGCTGTGGGGACAACACTGTGACCCTGTGCCAGCTCTGATGCACACCTTGAGCAAGAGGCTGTGGACAGTTTCCTACAATTAAGAATAATAATGAATAGATAGTACAGCAAAAATTTCCAAGATATAGGCAATGCTGGGAGGCTTAATTCATTCTGGAATACCAGTTTGGTAGGTGCAAGGCAGGGCTCTGAACACAGCTTGGCTGAGCCCTGCTTCCCCAGCAGGTCTCCGAGGGGTCTCATTGACATTGATTCCCCATCTCAGATTCCAGATAGAACATGGATTACCCCTGGTTCTGCAGGCTTACAGATGTTTGTGTTACACTGCAACAGCTGCATGCACATCATTAGACATGGAGCAGGAAAAACAAGTATTACTAACAGAGAAAAGTTATATACACTAAAAGAAATTAACACAGAGATTATTCAAGTTTTTATACTCCCAAATTCGCTGTAGCTACCCACTGAACAGTCTTACAGTCTGTTACATCTTGAACTGATCCCTCTGCTTTGTGCACTGCCATCCTCCAGCTCTGTTCACAAAGTTTTTGGCACCTTTCAAACCCACAGCAGAAATAACATGTACAAGAGCTGGTGCCTTCACTCACAGAGAATCACCAGCGAAGGCAGGAGAAGGGGCTGATGATAATAAGTATAATAGTAACTGCATTAGGCCAGCAGGGTCAACAGCTAATCTTGCTGCACTCTGAAAAAGGTTATTTTAATTCCAGTAATTGGCCCCAACCACCAGCAAGAATTGATGTGCTGCCACTTTTATCTGCTTGCTGCTCCCCACGTTCATGTGCAGCAGCTCTGCAAGATGAGCACAAATTACCTGCTGGAGTCAATGGAAGTGATTGCTTCTGTTCACATTATTGATCAGTTGTGTTGCTTACACAAAGCCTCAGTCACCGGACCCTCCCCAGCTTATTGGAGATGGGCTGTCTGTAGGTACCAGGGTGTTCAGAGAGCCAGGGAACAGGCTAATTGTTATTGTGCTGGCCATCGTTATTATGATTATTTTTCTTAATGACTAACATTTATATGATGCTGATCATGCAGTTGCCCTACAGCACTTTGCAAGCTTCACAAAAGGCTCCACAAATTATATATCTGAGCCTGAAAGCATTATTAGATACTCGTAATGTGGCCTGGGGCCAAAAGAAAGATCAGGCTCGTCCTTAATATGTGTTGTAACAAAACATCATGTTCTAAATACACAGACCATCCAAAGGGACCTACAGCTCCACTGGGTGTGTGGAGACTCACAGGACCACGACTGAAAATCAGGAGAGTCACCAAAAGGGGCTGGTGGAGTTCACAGGAGTTCATGTGTGTGGGTCATGGCCATCCTGACATCAGCCCCCTCCCAGGAGGCTCCTTTTCACCTCCAGCTTTTCAGGGAATACAAAGCTCCCGACACACACTCAGTAACTTTGTTAAATGGAGTGGACATAACACACAATTATGCCTTGGTGTGAATACTTGAGCTCCTTGTCAGCAACTTTGTTGGTGTTCATATTTTACAGTGGGTTCCAGCTCCTCTGCAGAGCAGGTTGGACATAGAGCCATGAACACCAGGTTTTTTGGTCCCTGAACCAACTCAGTGCCCTCACAGCCCCATCCCTGCCCTCGCAGACGTGTTCTTAGGTACTGCAGCTTCCACTGGGATTTCACTCTAGATTTGAGCTCCTGTTCTAGGGAACACACTGCCTGTCACTTCACTTTTCTACTGTTTTTTAGGGAGGGGAAAGAAAGCTCACACCTGTTTAAGTGCTTTTAAATTTGAAGCATTACCTTATGAAATGCAGAGCAAAAAAACAGGGCCAGGAGCTGGACTCTGTGATCCTTGTGGGCCACTTCTAACCCAGGATATTCTATGACCTCCTATGACTTTCTAAATAACAGTATTTAGATAAAACTTCCAAAGCTGTAATACCACAGGGAGAAGAAAATATTATTACTAATAATATGTAGTAACAGAATAAGAGCCTGAAAACAGGGTGTCTTGAAATTTGGGAAGCTTCACTGGCAAGGATTTGGCTGCTTTTATAGGAAGAAATTCCAGTTTGGAGTCCTGGGTTATGTCCTGTCATTTAATCGTTTGAAACTCAGAGGATTTGACCACCCTTTGTCCCCCAAACAGGGGCACAGGGAGTTGGCAGCAGCCTGTTGGAGAATCCTGCCTTTCCCACAAAATCAGGACAAAACCTCTAAATGTATTTTCTTCCCGATGCTTGAACTTCACATTTGTGTGCTAAGGTGGAAGGAATTAATTACAGAGATTTCAGCAGAGCTGAGAGCTCTTCACGGGAAAGCACCTTAATATGGGGTGTAAATAAACAATCCAAGAACTTTGGACCCACTCCAGGAGCAATTCTTGTCTCCTTTCTTTATGGATACTCAGCCAGCTGCCCCCATTCCCAAAGAAATATTTGAGGAAATTAGTTTTTCCACCTGATTCTTTGGCCAATTTCCCATAGCAGAGATAAGACCCGGAGCATGTGCATTTACAGATTATGGTTCTCTGTTCTCCTTGTCCTTGTAAAAGGGGACTTGCTTTCTCCAGGAATATTCCAGCCTAAACACTTGGAGTACTTTTCTAACAACATAAAGATAAGTTAAATTAGAAAGCTCAGTTCAGCAAGGAGAAATGCAGCTGAAATTCAGGAGAAATTCAATTCATGAGATGACAAAACTTTTTAATTTTACTTGTTAAACTCCTTCTCACTGACTTAGTTAAGGAAAACAAACAAAAACTCCAAATAAACCACACACAAAGCGGGGTGTTGGGGCTACATTAAAAAACAAACAAACAAAAGTAGCAACTAGCCAGGAATCCTGCCATGAACCCCAGCAATTTAATGAAAGTAAAATATAATGACTTTGAGTGCAGATTAAAAAGCAAAATATGTTAGAAGCACTCACACCAATCCGTTGGGTAAATAAAGGTAC